AATCAGCATTTTAATACAACTTTGAGATGGATAATAATACAGACACAATGCAGGCAGAGTATATGTAGTAACTGTGTTATTTTGCTTCACAGATTGATATTAAAATCAAAGATGCTATTGGCAGGTACCATCAATGTGCTACTGTCCAGCTTGACTTCCAGCTACCCATTCGATTTAATCTTACTTATGTTGGGTGAGTGGTTAAGTTAAATATCTTCCTCTTTGAAATGAAATAATTAAACCCCAAAAAAGGTTAGTTTCTTTAATTCTCCTTTAACTGACATGTACTGATGCTTTGTTGCTCACTTAACAAATGATGAGCCTGTACAGCAGTAGCCTGATGAGGAGGGGGAGAACATCCTTAGCTAGTAGAGGTCTCAGTCATGAAATTGAAGGTACTTCCTCAGTGTAATGGTAGGTCACTTTAAATGTAAATGCTGTTGATTGCAGGAAAATTTCCTGATCCATGTTGTCTGCCAGATCTGAAGACAACTGATCATATATAATGCTAAAGGAAACTCGCTGAGTCAGTTTTCACTTTGAGCCTAGTCACTGTGTCTCCTTTGAAGACATTGCTTAGAAATTCAAATGTGTCTTAAGGAGCTAGTATGTTTGTAATTAAGTTCTCCATTCTTTTTGATCAGATAAAGTAAGTTAACTTTGAGGAACATAAACCAAATGTGAACGGTTTTTAATGAAAATCTCACTTTTGATTCTAGCTAGGAAGAGGCATGTTTATCCTCTGAGTGAATTAATCTTAGTACCATGTTGACTTGAACACGCATTTTCTGGGTTGTTTTTCTTGATAGATTTGATTTTGCCTATTATAAAGAGTTAGATGGGGAAGATAAAATAAGAATAGTTGTTTTTTTGATTTGGCTCTATCTTGTACGTTAGATGTTCCAGCTCTTTGGTAGGTGATAATACTGTTACGAACAGCAGCCAGCTTTTTTTCATCACAGGATTGTAATTTAAGGGAAGACATCAATAGTAGGAGCAGGTAAAATCATGTGCAACCAAAAAAAAAAGCAAGACATAGCGGAAAAATAAGAACCAAGAACATAAATATTAAAATGCCCAGATGGAGCTGAGTCAGTTGAGTGTCTTTTTAAACTTAGGTGTTTCTGCTGATGCCATTAGCTATAGGCATGGTTATTTTAAGTCACTGGATTATTCGGTATTCCTTTAAAAGCTCAGGTAATTGAAAGTATATTTTTAATAAAACCAGTAGAGTTTGTGTAAGTAAAAGTTACTGTATTTTGTCTTTCCATGAAAAGTAGAATCAGAAATGTTAGTAGGATTATCTCTGTGTGAGCTGAGAAATTTTTGTTTTTTAACTTTATTCTTTTTTCAGTAAGGATGGCGATGATAAGAAAAGACCAGTGATTATTCACAGAGCTATTTTGGGATCTGTGGAGAGAATGATAGCTATTCTAGCAGAAAATTATGGAGGAAAGTGGTATGTGGCACAAATACACTTCTAAGAGGTGTTTAGCAATGTATTGAATAGAGATCCTCCATTATGCCCCATATATTATAATGCAAAGTAATATTCCTAGAATTTTCTCAAAATGAGTAGGTAAGATTACAAGAAAAGAAGTTGAATTTTATGGTCTGAGTTGCATGGCATCCTTTTATTGATAGCTCATTAACAGAAATTCAGTTTCATGAGGTTGCAGGAAAAAACATACAGTAAAGCAGAAATAAGAATTGTAATTGAATATATGTGTACTGCATTATTCTTGTTCCTTTCTTCTTAAACATAATGGTACTGTACTGGGAAGGTGTTAGACATACGTAAAGGTGTAAAGTGATCACAAACACAGACATGAATTAGTCCTAATATGTGAAATATTTTTTTAAGTTGTAAGATGTATCATTTCATCTTGAATGAACTCTGAAGGTATTTCTTCGTGAATGTATTTAAAGTATTAAGGAAAAGGTAATATTTGCTTTTAGCCACCTACCTGACTGTTCACGTTTCACTATAAAATTATATAAAAAAACCTAGAAATCATATGAAAAAGTCAAGTTCTGTTGGAAGTTGTGAATGCAGCTGGGAAGTAAACAGAAGTTCTGCGTATGTTTTACTGGAATCAATATATTTACTATTTTTATGTGAACTTGAGGAAGGTAACCTATTTTTCAACACCCTTAGCTAACATAAATACTTTTATAAAGTAAAGAAATTGTTGTTAGGAAAGTGACTGGATAGTAATGCAAATGTAATATGCATATTTATTTCATATTTTTCTTGTCCTGCTTGCCAGGCCGTTCTGGCTGTCTCCGCGGCAGGTCATGGTTGTGCCTGTGGGACCTACTTCTGAAGAATATGCACAGCAGGTGAGAGTAGGGCCTTCCTTTTTATAGTAGCAAGCAGTTTTTAATAGCTAGGACAAACAATGTTTGTCCTAGAAAAAAGAGTGAATGCTGTAATAATTGCAGAGACTAAAATTTGTATAAGCCTGAGATAGGGTTATGTAACTTTCAAGTGTGTTGGGTTCTGTAACTATCTACATATTGAGGAATTATTAAAGAAGAAAACATTCTGGATGACAAACCTTGTATATTGTTTCATTACAGGATTATCTGCTTAAAGTAGAGGCAGAGCTGATTTCTTCCATTTCCCAGCATTTATACTGTTGACTACATTATATTTGACCATGGTTGGGTTTACCCCTTTCTCCTGCTTTTCCTTTAATGCAAGCATAAGTGGGTTTGTTCATTCTCTTCTTTCTTATTTCTCAGTGAGGAAGCATTTCTGGCATTGCGCAGTGTAGCTGTGTGAGGAAATCAAGTATTTGATATGGATGTTACCTTGTATTGTAATCTAACTGGAGTCCTCCTAAGCCCTCAAGTGTGTGTGCAGTTTTCTGCCAATAACTTAATGGACTTACAATGATTCACAAGAGCAAATTATGCATATACACAAATTATTGGAAGAGATCAGGGATTACAGCACGTATAAATTTATGTTGTAGAATATATACTGTAATATTGAGTGGTTTGTTCTTTGTTTTTTTTAGGTTTGCAGCAAATTTTTTGAAGCAGGATTTATGTCCGATGTGGATCTAGATCAAAGTTGCACATTAAACAAGAAAATTAGAAATGCACAGCTGGCCCAGTATAACTTTATCTTGGGTAATTGCAGCACCACATTTCTGAGTATCATTTAAATTTTAATGTCAGGCACAGAGTTTGTCTAGACTCTTGTTTTGTAATGTAGGTAGTCAGTTTTATATTGTTTGTGCTATGTCTTGCAGTGGTTGGAGAGAAGGAGAAAGCAAATAATGCTGTCAACGTGCGAACAAGAGACAACAAAGTTCATGGAGAAATTTCAGTATCTTCTGCTATTGAAAAACTCAAGAAATTAAAGAGTTCACGTATTCCATATGCAGAAGAAGAATTCTGATGTTGCCATTAGGAAAAATAATTATTAGCTGCTCATGTGAAATGGTATTTCTTTCCTTCCTGTACAGCAGTTTAATGGATATGCAAAATAGACACACGTAGCAATGTTGGTGCTATAGGAACAGCATGAGAGGACAGATGGAACTGCCAAATCCTTTAACAGTTGCATGGGATTCCAATCTGTGCAACTTGCAGAACGCTTATTCTAAAAGTCCTACACCTCTGCTAAAGTGCGTAGGGTTTGCTATGGAAATAAATCATGAGGAATGGGAGGCAGGGAGCTGTACTGGCTGCTGCTGTGACTGCTGATGTGACCTGGAATCCAAAGCTTGGCAGATGCAGGAGGAGCATCTTGGTTTATTTTTTTTTTTCTAACTCCAGATTATATCAAATTTATTTGTGAAGGAATGGCAGGGGAAACGGCTTGTTCACAGGCTGCAAGTACATGAGTGTCAATTGGAAGTATAAGTGGTACAAGGTGCTGATTGAGTTGGTCTGATACTTGGTTCTTGTAAAGGTGATTACCAAGAATGAAGTTGAATTACCCACCCTATCTGTGTGTGTGGAGTGTTTTATTTTTTCCGGTGTTTGCTGTTGATACGTTTTTTTTTCTAGAACAAGCAAACCTTTGAAAAAACTCTGTAATTTTTTGCTGTATTTGTTTGGGACACTGAAACCACTGAAACAGGGCAGATGACAATTTTAAAACACAGCATGTTTGAATTTACAGTGGCCATATTTATCTGACTTCTTCATGCTTAGAAATTATTTTGAAGTTACTCTTGCAGGCAATAGAATCAGGTTGTTTTTTTAGGTAAGTTTTCATGACTTTTTTGCTTTTATATGCCTTTTTTACTTACAATGCATAGATAATGTTAAATACATTACTCAGTTATCCAAGCTATGCAGCTGTAGCTGTTGTGATTTAATATCACTGAAATGAAGCAGAAAATGCTACACAGCACATAAGTGTTATATAAATAAAAATCTAGTGCTTTACTTGCGTGATGGGTGTAGAGATGTGTGGTCAATCAGCCTATTTTTGTATTAGGTTGCTTGAGTACCTGTTTTTACCCACTGCGTTTCCCCTTCTTGTTAAAGGAGAAGAAAAAATTAGAGCAGCAAGTGCCAGGGCCCTGTTCTGTTCCACTTCACAGAATTAAGGTGGGCTGTGGAGACTAATTCATGTTTATATTTAATAATATATTTTATATGCAATATTTGATTTATTCAGAATGTAGAAACCCCATGTTTGGTTTGGTTTTTAGTTTGTTTTTTTTCCCCCCAGTAAACTTCTAGGTTTTGCAAATAAAACCTAGGATTTTAGCATGCATTGTTAGCCTTTTATGTTTTGCGACATTGTTTGGATGACCTGCGGCAAAAAGAGGGTCACGGAGGGATATAAATCCATGAAAATAATGTAAGATTTTTCTACAGGGAGCAATAGGTAGAGAGACGGGGCTCAGCAGCGCGAGGAAAGCAGCAGTCTCAGGGATAAAACGAGTCCGCCATCGATAGCATCCCGCAGGCGCTGCTCTGGCAGCCAAGGCGGAGCCTGCCTCTTCCCCCCTTCCCGCCGGGCGGAGCTGCTGGGTGCCCGCCCCTGGGCCTCCCCTCCGCGGCCGCGGTGAAGCCGGCAGGCGGCGGCAGAAGATGGCGGCGGTGGCGGCGCTGCGCGCCCTGCGGAGGCTCTGCAGCATCGCGCTCTTCCTGTCCCAGCTCTACGTTCTCTCGGGCCGCGGTGAGCGCGGCCGCTGCCGCTCTGCCCGGGCTCCCCGGGGCGGGGAGGGTGGGGATTAGGAGGGAGCCGCTGCCTGCCCGCCAGCGGCCCGGAGCTCCTGGCCCGGCAGGGGAGGCCCGGAGAAGCGCAGCCCTGCGCTGCGGGTGGCGGCTGTTCTGAGCGACTCGGGGCGGGCCGCGCTGGGACGTGACCGTGACCTCGGTGTTGAAGGGGGCGCGGAGGGGGACACGGCAGCTGTGCGGTGGAACGGTGCTTCCTGCGGCGGTGCTCAGCGGTAGGGCCCTCCGCTCACCGGCTCTGCTGCTGCTCCGGGGTTGAGCAGCACCCCTCGTGCCGGCTCCTGGTCGTGAACCGGAGCGGCGCTGGGGCTGCAGGTGCCAGAGCTGCGCTGTGCGGGTGCTGCCCTGCGGGCTCTTGGCGTGCTCTGCCGCCGCTCGGCTCGCACGGAGGCAGGCATGGCTGCCGGCTGGCGCGGCTGTTGCAGCTCTGTCAGAAGAGGAGCTGCACTGCTGCATTAAATGGTTTTGTTCAGTAGCAAATACTGCGTGAAATCTGCGTTCTGAGCAGCCCTTTTTAATTCTTATGAATCAAAAAACAAGACTGAGTTGAAATAAATGTTTTATTGTCTAAAAGGAACAATTCTAATGCTTATTTTAACGCTTAACATAAACACTCTACTACTTACAGAACGGGAAGATGAATTTTTTTATCTGATTCCTGCACTTTCCATTTGTAATTTCAGTGTGCTAAAATCAGACTGTTTCTGAAGATTAATTTTATACTAGAAATATCACTTCTGCCTTTTTCTTTTTTCTTGTAGCAGGATCTTTGATGACTACAAAGCATTCAGAGCCACAGTCTGCATTTGCAAAAAGTCTAACTTCGACAAGCACAAATACTCCCTATTTTAAAGAAGCAGGTATGATGCCATGTTGTTTCCTTTGTCTTTCTTCTGGGGGCCTATTTCCTCACTGAATTGAGTTCAATAGTCAAGTTCTTTAATTATGCCATAGAAACCTCTACATGCTTTCAGTGGTAAAAGCCACTGTCGTGTAATGCTTTATGACTTATTCTCCAGTGACATTAACAATTAGGTTTGGGTAATAGAATTAGAAAAATTGGTCCATATAAGATCTTATAACTAGAAAATGACCAGTTAAGCTGCCATTGTGCTTCATGTTTCATACCCTCTCAGGATGGTGGAAGTTCTTGAAGGACTTAAGCATTCAGCAAGACTGTGCTACTGTTCCCTCTCCAACATCAGTATAGCTTTTATAGCTCACTAAGGGGTGCATTGGGTTTTGCTGAAACACTGTTCTTGCCAGTAATCTAAGAGGTGATTCTGAATACATACACACAGCACACAGCTGAGCTAGCTGTAAACTTAATTAGACCTGAACTAAAAGTAGGTTGTATGTGTCAGCCTGCTTCTGTACCTAAACTGATTACTTCTGCTGAGAAATCCTGGCTGAGGAAGCACTAATCTCTGTGAAGCTCTGCTCTGGTGCTGCATTGGCTTGTGTTGCTGTGCTGTCCCGGGCAGACCTTCTGTGAGATCCTTGCAGGATTGTGTAGCTCCTCCCTGCTGTGTTTTGTAGCTCAATTGGCTATTGCAGTGTTTCCCAGAACAAGACCTTGTAATGCTGTTCACTGGGTAATAAGGAAAGCCCTTTACACAGTGTCAGTCATGTGTATATGTATGATGTACAAAAGAATATACATATATATATATATATGTATAAATGACATACGTATATCTAGAACATATGCATACGTATTCATTTTTTCACCTTTCAGAAAGTACAGAAATTCCATCTTATGTGACTAAATGTCCTAGTAACGGGCTTTGCAGTAGATTGCCAGCAGACTGTATGACATGTAACACGAACTATTCCTGTATATATGGGAAGCCGGCTGCTTTTGATTGCAGAGTCAAGCCACATGTTCACTGTGTGGTAAGTAACCTATTACTTTTAAACTCAAATTTAAGTCATTTAATTAAATGTGGCATCTTGTCTTAAAGTACAAAATACTGATTTCCAGGTTCTTACATGTGCAGGTTTGCAGCTCTGTGACACACTTCATCATTGAGCTGTTGAAGAGACAGACTTACCCTCCCTGTTTTGCCCTTCTTGCATTGCCTCTTGTTACACAGCAATACGTTTCAGTTAAATCAGTTAGCTGCCAGTCAAAACTGAAGCATTTCAAGTGTGGGGAGGCTACATGGCCCTCAGAGGTATAGACTGCTTTTGCAGGTGAGATCAAATGAGTCCTCCTTTGGCAGCAGTCTTAGATGGGAGGAAGCAGTAATGTTAAACTGCTTTAATAACGCTTTATCAGTTTTCTGATACTGATTTTTCTATTGTCCTTGAGTACACAGAGGTAGAAAAGAGGGTTATTGCTATTTTGCCCAAAATGTCTAATCATGAAATGTAATCTGATGCTGTACACTGTGGATTTTTTTTAATTACCACTGAAGTGATAATGCTGTCCCTTTCTAGGATCAGAATAACCTTGAGCAGGAGAACTTTACAATTAACATGACCTGCCAGTTCTGCTGGCAGCTTGCAACAACTGATTACGTGTGTACCAATTCTACAAGCTGCATGACGGTTTCTTGTCCGCGACAGCGCTACAATGCCACTTGCACGGTGCGAGATAATGTTCATTGTCTAGGTAAGGTGGGCAAACTCAGATTCTGTAATGGGTAAATACAGTGATTGTTTATGTCCATGGCAGTAGCAGCCTGCACTTTGAATCAGTTGATTGTTTTTTTTTATTGTTACACTTTAATTTATAAGCATAATAGTATGTTATGATTATTAGTCAGACATGTAACTGTACACATTGGTTTTTGCTACTGTCACGTGAGAGAAAATAGTTCTTTATCTAATACCAACTGTCTCAGTAAGATAATTTTAAAAAATTAATGTTGGTTTCACCACCTAATTTTCCCCTTATTTGTTCAGTGGCCTTGCATGTTTTCTGTTGTGGGACATAGACTGATGAACAGGGGACTGCAGAGTATATGTGAGCTTTTGTGTTGACATTGTGTCAATTAGTCTCAACCCTTTTAGACGCTTGTTAGAGAAATACTGTATTTCCTTACTCGTTATGTGGCCTTTGTTGCATTAAGGTTTGAATGTTTTCTAATGTTTAGGTAACCGTGTCTTTCCCAAGATGCTCTACTGCAACTGGACTGGAGGTTACAAGTGGTCTACTGCCTTGGCACTAAGGTACACAAGAACTATTAGATAATGTTAAGCTAAAATGGATACTACTAATATTGTGTGGTTGATTTTTTTTCCCCCCACTTTTTTAATATATTTTAGACAATCAGGGCTGAAAATCCAAGTTACTTCTTGGCATCTGAAATGAATGCAGCTGTTTTTTCTGAGTTTGATAGCTGTCACCGAACTGGCTATAGTTGGCATCCATTGGTTACAGCTTCCTTCCCAGCTATAACAGCTGGAAGTGCCTTAAGTAAAGTGCCTTGCTTTTTAAATTATTAGGGAAGAGACCAGTGTAGCAGTTTTTAAAGAAAATAGGTTATGTTTTTTTTAATATTAAGCCACTAGAGCTCCACAATAGTGATTTGAAAGTAACTGAATTTATTTCAGTTGTAAGACCCTTTTTATTATGTTTTTTCAAAATGGTAAATATGATAAATTAGGTGGAGAGACTCTATTCCTGGAGCCAAAGATACTACAAGACTGATCAGGAAGGTGATCTAACCCTTTATAGCAAGAGTTGTTCCCTTTGCCACCAGCTGGAGAAACTTACTGTTGCTTGACGACTGTTTTGGGGCTGAATTTAACGTTTGGGTCTGTTTCTGTAGTGTGTTTATTGGGGTATTTTTAGCTTCTACCTTAGAAAAGTTGAGACACATTTCCGAATTTCAGAGTTTGGGCTTGTATTGCTTGCCATGAATGAAAAACTCTGAAGTCTCTGGATAGTATTAGTTAGCTAAGAAATTTTCATCAAAAGCTTTCTCATTTATTAACCCAGTCAGCTATTTTTGTACCAAAAAAAAGTACAATTTCTTGAATGATGTAGAGCAAAACTACTACTGACATGTAGGCATGTTGGAAAGAAGTGTGTATGGATACCCTGACTGAGTTTCTCTAAGAATAACAATGAACAATGTTTTTATTCCTATAGCATCACCCTTGGTGGATTTGGTGCTGATCGTTTCTATTTGGGCCAGTGGCGGGAAGGTCTGGGAAAACTCTTCAGCTTTGGTGGACTTGGAATATGGACACTAATTGATGTGCTGCTAATAGGTGTTGGCTATGTGGGACCTGCAGACGGTTCTCTGTATATTTAAACATGGGTGCAGCATGTTTTGGAGAGGATTGCTTGGAAGGGGCTCTGAATAAAAGAATGTAGAGGTGCGAGCCTTTCAGGTAGAGTGAATAACATCTGTTTTTCTGTGTGCATACATTTTAATGTACAGTATCTGTACTTAGTTTGCCTTTAACTAAGGTAAAATAAAGAAGTGGATCACTGAGCTGAAATGAATTTCTTTTCTTCTATGGACATGCTACTTTTCTATGAAAAAGGTTGAACAGCTAACCCAATTCTGCACCTGAACTTGGATAATCTGTCAAGCACCAAGAGATGCAAACTAACTTGAATATTGAGTTGTTTACTTTGTATTTTTGTGCTTGAATTTGACTTTACAGCAAACTTCCCTAAATATTGTAGTGATATATTTTTTTGTGGGAGGATAATTTATTTGCCTGAGTGACTCCAGCAGCATGTAGATGACCATGTTTCATGATGTTAATTACATTCGTATCTTGTTTTGGGATATAGCAAGAGCTAGCATTTGCTTAGTGACTTGATCACTTAACATCGTGCAGTTTTTAAAGTTAGACTGCAGTAACACTAAAACCCAATTATAACACAACTGAAATAGATGTTAGGATCGTCCCAGAATGTTTTTATTCAGGTCGGGTTTGAGCTGTGTGTCAGTAACAGGTACGGTTCATGCAGGTAACTAACAAAAAAGGGTTTGCAGTGTAACCCACGCGTTGATCCCCTCCGGGCTGTGTAACTAAGTAACGTAGCAAGCTGCAGTGCCCCTGCGGAAGAACCAAGTGGTTGCTTTCACCTACATACCCGAAGGTGACTGCCGACCTCTCGGCCAGGCGACCTGTTGCCGTGCCCCCCCCCCGCCCCGTACGCAGGCCCTGACCCGTCGCTGTTGCAGCCCCGAGGTGCGCTGGCGCTGGAAATCGCGTCGCTCAGTAAGCTCGAACGTCAGCGCTGCCGCCCTACTCCTGCACTCTGCCGGGGCGGGGCGAGGCGGGCACGGCGCCGGGGCGGGCCTACCGTGGGCAGGCAGCGGCACCGGCACCGTCATGGCGGCGGAGCGGGAGCGGGACCTGTGCTTCTACCGACAGCTGCCCAAAGTGGTGAGCGCCGCGGGGTGGAGCGGCCGAGGGCGGCCGGAGCTCAGTCCCTCCTTCGGTGGCGGCAGCGGCCGCGGGGGCTGCTCGCGGGTGCGGGGGGCAGAGGGGCTGGAGCTGGCGGCGCACCAGCACTGCGGCGAGCGGACACAGAGACGGAGCTGCTGCTGTTCCTCTGCCGCTGTCAAACGAGCGCTCTTCCTGAGGTGCTTGATGCCACAGAGCACCCGGTAACGTGAGCCTTGGCGCTTCTCGGCGTTGTCTGCTTCCAGTTAAATCAGTTGAGCATGATCTTTGTTTTCCCTTTTTGTCCTGTTTTGCCCCAGAGCTAGCCTAAGAAGTTTGTCACAGATAAGGCTTTTCCCCCCGTTTCCCAAAGGGTGTGCCTTCCTTTTAGCGTATCTGTGCTGTTCCTTCGTGTGCCTTACGGTGCGTTTATCGGCACTGCTGTTCTGGACTTGAAAACAACAAATGGCACCTTCTGCTGCGGAGAGACAGTACAGCAGGTGCACGACCAAACCCACATCACACGATGCCATCCTTGTGTTCTCGCGCTCCTTTTCAGTCAGATGGTTTTCGGGGTTTGTGGTTAACGTCTAACTGAATTCTGATGGCTGTCGCACTTGTAAGAGTGAAAAACGTAATGTAGTGGTGTGTATCTGGCCTGATTTCCAGAAGTGGTAAGCAGCTGTAGCACCTGGTATTCAGTTGGAGTTACGCACTTCACTGTTTAAGATGGTCTGACCCCTTTTCCTCTGCTTGTGAACTTTAAAATAGGAACCCAAAATATACTTCATAAATCTTGGAGACTTAGAATTTCAGCACATTTTCCTATCAAAGGCAGCAGTAGCATCTTGCTAGATTTCTGGTGTCAGTTCCTTTCCTGAGCTGGCCGTGCTCCCATTGAGGCCAATGCTGAGAGGAGCTCACCAAGTGAGAACAGAAGGGACAGCCTCACTTGAACCAGTGCATGCAAAGGTGTGAAGAATCTGTTATTAGCCAAACACAGAGATAACGGTTGCTTTATGTTCAAACTCAGAGTGAAACAATAACGTAGAACACAAGAGCAGTGATACAACCTAGATGGAGAAGCCATCCTTTTCACCAGGTTTTTCTTTTCTCTAGGAACTTCATGCTCATTTGAATGGCTGTATCAGTTCTGCCACTATGAAGAAACTTACGGCCCGGAAGCCAGACTTGCAGATCCAGAACGGAATGACTGTGATTGACAAAGGAAAGAAAAGAACCTTAGAAGAGTGAGTGTACACCCGTGTGGGGTCAACGTTTACTGAGTATCTTCTAATTGAAAGTTCAAGACCAAGAGTTGTATGACTTCATACACCGACTGCAGAAAATGCATTTTCAAGTTTTAGTTACAGGACAGTCTATTAGATTTTTTTTTTGCTGTTTGTATTTATAGTGTAACTTCTTAGATGTTTGCAAACTAAACAGATGTTGATTAATTCAGTTTGAAAGACTGAAAATGTTCACTTGTAAGGTGCTCTTCAGCAAAAACCAACTTGTACAGCTGCTTTTTTGGAAACGTTCATGTTTTAGTCTGGGCTTCAGAAAGCTTTATGGTGGTGGTGGTAACGATAACAACAATAACATCTGTTGCAAATGCATTGTTCGCATCTAAAATCAAAATCACCACTCAGATCATCTTTGTATTTTAAGTTCCAAGCTGGTTAATTCAGCACAGCGAACACATGTTTTCCAAGTGTAGGTTTTATTGTTTTAATACTCATTTTGCTGTTTAACATTTGTCCAATTAATTTTTTAACTTTTTATTTTAGGTGTTTTCAGATGTTCCAGATCATCTATCAGATTACCACTAGGACTGAAGATATTTTACTGGTGAGTTAATTAAAAGTTCACTTAAGCAATACACTCAGTCAGAATGAGTTGGATTAACATCACTGGGTTCCAGGTAAGAGTATCAACACCGGTCCCTTCAGTCAGAGTTCGGAATTATTCCTGAAAATTACATCAATTTTGAAACAGAGGATTTTATCTACCTTTTGCATTTCATTTTTGTGAAAGCGGTGAGCTTCCAATATGGTGGTCATTATGACAACTCGGATGCTTGGACTGATAAAGTCTTAAAAATGTGACATCTGTTCCTTGCTACCAAAGTTCTGATTTACCGTAGTCTCCTGTTTCTTCTTTGGTTCATTATGTACCAAAACTGCAGAACTAGAATTGCCCCTTGTTCACTTCAGATGATGAAACTGCCAAGGAGAACTGTTGTGTGATCGAAGTATGGAACAGAAAGTGGTGTCGTGTCCTCTTTCCTCCTATAAAAGGGCTTGCAGCAGTCTGTTCAACTTGGAGAAGTGTACAGCAGCTGTGAAAGGGGTTTTTATGCCTGCCCCGCTTAAGGGGTATTCTGATTCAGACAAGGGAATTCTTATCTGTCCTTACTCTCTTCAGTATCACTGAGGGAACTGAAGGTGCTCTCGGTGGGTAGTATTTCCAGGGATGGAGAGCACCAAAAACACATAGGGCCTGAAAAAGTCACAAGTGTTTCACAGCAAAAAATAACTGGGTCTTTTATTTGCAAATGAAAACATAACCAATTTTATAAGCATTACTTTCATGATGTTGAATATGCTATTTCTTAATCAGATAACTAAAGATGTTATTAAAGAATTTGCCGATGATGGTGTCAGGTATCTGGAACTGAGGAGCACTCCTAGAGAAGAAGAGTCTACAGGTACAGTCTGTTCTGTTTTTTAATTTGTAAGCCTCATGTGCTATGGAACTTAGTTAAGGCTATGTTAATAACAAAACCAGATTTAGCTGGTTCAGTAAAAACATAAAGATTTAACTGTGTAAAAGCATGTTACTTTGCCATGAGGTTTTTGGGACAAAACTGCGTTGGTTGTAACTGCTACCCAAGAATTTGGGTTATTTGCTTTAGTATGACATCTGAGTCTGTTAATATTTTTAATAGCTGATATATTTTCTTTTTGTTCCTTTGTTTTTTAAATTTTCTTTTACATATGGTTTAATAGAAACATGTAAGAGATACCCTCTGGTTCACACTAAGTTACTTTCTTCCAGATATTTAGGAAGAGGCTTAATTCAAATATATGATTCAAAGTAAAGCTATATTTATAAACACTATTAGAACTATATAGATTAGAAGACTATGGACTAAAATCAAAGGTGCAAAAGGAAACTTATGAGGCTAGAAAACAGGGTCTGCAACATAATGAAACTAACTCAAATATGTTCATTCCAAATGTGTACATGTGTTTGTAGGTATGACCAAAAGGATGTATGTTGAAACTGTACTTGAGGGTATAAAGCAGTGTAAAGAAGAAGGCTTGGATATAGATGTAAGGTAAATAAAGCACACTCCATAATACACAAAATAAAGTACCTCTGTTTCAAGGTTTTGTGTAGTCTGATGCTGGTCATAGCTTGCAGAGAGGTTTACAGACTGTCAGTGCAGGAAAGAAAATTTGCTTAAACTGGAGCACGTGGAATGGAAACAGTAGAGTACATTGGATGGAACCAGTACTAGAGTACATTGGATGGAACCAGTACTAGAGTACATTGGATGGAACCAGTACTAGAGTACATTGGATGGAAACAGTACTAGAGTACATTGGATGGAAACAGTACTAGAGTACATTGGATGGAACCAGTACTAGAGTACATTAGATGGAACCAGTACTAGAGTACATTGGATGGAAACAGTACTAGAGTACATTGGATGGAAACAGTACTAGAGTACATTGGATGGAACCAGTACTAGAGTACATTGGATGGAACCAGTACTAGAGTACATTGGATGGAACCAGTACTAGAGTACATTGGATGGAACCAGTACTAGAGTACATTGGATGGAAACAGTACTAGAGTACTTTGGATGGAAACCTGATTTTTTTTTTTCTTTTCACCGATAATGAGATGGGTAAAGCTTTTTAGCTCCAAGACTGTCCATTCTCTGCAACACTTTCAGGAAGAGCAGTGTGTTTGATGGATTAAAGACTCCTTTATCATAGCCTGGATTAATTGCAAAGCTTTTGTGTGATCCATTGTGCAAACTGCCTACTGTAAAGGCGAGGTAGTCCTAACCAGCAGAAAAGTTTCAGA